CTTGTTGACCCGAAACCCGTTATTTGCGTGTCGTGTCAGAAACTGTCAGGTCTAGTCTAACCATCTGCAAACTTTTGGGATAAAGCTTAAAAATTTAAGTTAGAAAATTTTAAGTCATAATTCAGAAATTGTTTTTCTCCTCCAATCCTTATAGCTTAAAATTTTAGCCCAATAATATTAAATAATGATTTTAGCCTTTGGTTTTTCTCGATAAATTTTTTTGAAAATAAAATTTATGTAGATTAAATTAATTAATTAAATGAACATTTTAATTTAAATATATTTAAATTTCAATAAGTAATTAAAATCATAAAAATACATAGGTATTTATAACATTTTAAGTGAAATTTTATTTAAATTATTTTAGATGCTAAATTTAATTTTGGGTCATCAAATATATTTTTTTTATTATTAGATTTGATCTCATTTGATCATAGCAGTTAGATTATAAGTAAAAAAAAAAAGGTTTTAAATATGACAGTTTGGTGAGTCCAGAATAATTTAAGCCCGGTTTAAATCCTAGGGGAAATCTAGCCCAGATATATATTTTCTCTTAGGGCTTATTTTAGCCTAATGGTTGGAAATGGTTTTGGGGGGTTTAAAGCTTATATTTTAAGTAAATAGTAAGTGCTTTAGTGAGCAATAATTGTTCAAATGCATCTCCACTCAAACTGAATAACCTAGGCTATCAATATTAAAATATTTTTATAAAATAATAAAGATATTTTTATTTTTAATTTTGAATAATATTAATAGATTGGTTGAAATCATTTGAAAATATTGAAATGTGATGTAGGTAGAAGAACATAGTTAGGTTTTTATAAAAATAAAAAATAAAAAACTATGAATTATATATATATTTAATTAATATTTTATAATTTTTTGTAATTCCTTTTTATTAGTTTTTTTTATAATTTTTTTAATTCTGACCTAAAGGCTCGGCCAATCAATTTTGGCCTGGGTGAGCAACTAGGTTTTGGGAAGCCCAGTGGATTGGAATGGGTTGAAGGAGTTTTTTTGGGGGAGGGGATTTAATCCACCATCCCTTAGGTGATTTAAAAGGGTGTATGTGCTCTAAAAACTTGTTAATTACACTAACACTGCTCGAGTTTATGGTGACATCAACTTTAAAGTTCTTTTAAGAACAAATTTTCCCTTGTAATTTATTACTTAAAAAAATGCCTAATGATAAATAAAATAAAAAATACTAATTATTTGAAATAGTAAAAAATTTGAAGAAATATGTGTGTATCTTCATGTTCTACTCTTCTTCTCAGAAAAAACACTCATTAGATTATTGGAGTCTGCAGCCCCAACTCCCCACCTCCACCAACATCTTCTAACTCCTCTCAAATCACCTCCCCCACTGCCACCTTATGTAGATCACTACCACCATAAGCCTAATTCCTCTCCACACCTTCCAAAATCTAGCATGAGCATCCATCACACGTGCTACCAATGTCGATACCAACTGTTTGGGCTTGAAATTAGAGATTTGGGCCGAGAAGAAATAAACTAAGGAAGGAAGGTTGTGTGCCTCAGCTTAATAATGGATATTTAGCCTAGGTGGTAGTCAATCCAGGAAAGGAACTCTAAGGGGTTCGACCAACTTTTAATAGATTTAGGAGTGTCAGAGGATCAGATTGTGATAGTGGTTCAATCAAGTCTTGGTTATGTTAGGACTGTTGAAAGATAAAGATCAGAATATGTTTTGATAATATTCGCATTATTAAGAATCTAAACATATGACTAATCAGATAAGAAGTGAATCGAGCGCGTAATAAAACTAAGTTCAAGTCAAAAAGGCCAAGACTAGATAAAGATTGACTCTGGTAGGATAGAGGTTTGGTAAGATAATGTCAAGGATGTTTAGGATTAGGCCAAGAAGTCACAGTCCTGTTAGGATTCTACCACTTGGCAGGCTTGCTCATCATGAAATTCACGCTATAAATTGAAATCGTTTTGTAGCGTAAAGAAGACCTTCAACTCAATGCAAACCCAAAAACACTAACTGCCCATTAACCCCTTTGCCTATGTACATTCAACTTGGAGTAACATCATTGTGTTGATAACCGGCGCCATATTCAATTTGGACTAACATCACTGAAGTCGTAGAACCAGTCGATCAAGAAGTACCTTCATTTTGGATTAATAGAACTAATTCTATTTTTTATATTCTTTGGTTGAACAAGATCACTTCATCAGTTTTCCCAACAAAGTGAAGTGTTTTATGATCGATTACTCACAAGTGCAATCCAATGTTCGACATTCAGACAGCCAAATAATATTCACCATAAAGACATTCATCTCTTTTGAGTATCTTTGTCCCTACAATCTGATATTGATTCAATGCACCCATATCACAAGTATAGTTGAAGCTGTCGAACTTGGAGTGAAAAATCCTGAACATAGTAGTGATTGCATAACCTAGGGTTTTTCTCTCTTTTCTTGATAGACAAAACTGAACAACTTTTGCATTTTGTGTATTGAGAGAAACACGAGGAGTATATAGATCACTATGGTGTTGCGGTAGTACATGATGTGAAAACCATAGTGAATCTTATTGTACATCACTATGGTGTTGCGGTAGTACATGATGTGATAATCTAGATCAGTCCCCATGGAACAATTTGAATTGTGGCTGGGAGAACTTCTTTGGTGATGACATGGATTCAACAGTCAGAGAGAGAAGGCTTCTGATCCGAACGGTTTGCTTGATTAGGATATGAGGGCGATCCTTTCTGGTTACGCCCATAGGGTTTTCTTTATCCAAAAGGCGTCGTCATTCTTGCTCTTCAGAAGATTCAGGTTCATCGAATCTCTGACGATGAGTTTCCACCCATAGTGCCCCTATGGTGTTTAGGGGAGAGAAGTTTTGTGGGATTCGAAGCCTGCTTCTAGAGGCGATGTTGATGACTTACTCATCACTCGAATGGCCTCTATTCGGATCAATAATGTCTACTGGGGTTGAGGTAACAATCGACACGATGGGTTTTCCCTTGGGGTTATGGTACTTATGTTCCCATAGCCAAAAACGAGGATTTGAGTTTAAGGGGTAGTCTTACTTGAGTTTTCGAAGGTTCTCATCAGCTTTTCGATGTCCATGAAGTTGGAGTGGCTCTTAGCCTGAAAGGCCACTTGAGTCTTCTACAGCTTGTCAACAGAGGCATTGAACTTCATCAAGGTCTCCCAAATTTGGTCCATAAAGGGTGGGAAGCGTTGATTGGGTTCTTGTTGTTTCCAGGTGTGGCTGTCATTTTCAGATGATTGTTACTTCCTCCAAGGGTGATGAAGACATCAGGGACCGGGTTATTCACCCTTGGGACAAGGGATGCATCATAGAGCGGGTTGTCTCTCATAATGGGGTTAACGTTGGCATTGAAAGAGCTTTCTTCAGCAGTCATGCTTGCAGTAGAGTGATTTGATCGAGAGGAATATGAGTTCATTTTCAATGAAAGCATCAATTATTAGAACTAAATTCGCGCATCGTCGTGGATGGTAGAGCCACAAATTCAAGTAGCCTGTCAAAAAAACAAATAATCGTGAGCAAGCCTGAGGCTGAGCCAAGGGTGTGTATGTGTGCTTGCCAAAGGCTCTTTGAATGTCAAGTTAGTAAGCAAGTATATGACTCAAGTAGTGGGCAAGAGAATTAGAGTGCAATGATTGTGTTAACAGAGACGAAACCTAGAAGGGTGTATTTATACCAGTCGGGAGAGCGAGCTTTTTATGATAGAATCTTTTGTTAAGCCGGGAGAATCCTAAAGGATATCTAGAAGTAGATATTGCATCCTCTTTAGGTGTGCTTACTTGCAGTGCCCACCATTTCCCAGATTGTAGAAACTCCAAGACATATAGAGGATCTGACTGATTCCATACCTGTTCAGATCCTTGTGTCTTGCAGAACAAGGATGGTCATTCTCAGCGAAGTCGCTTGGACTTTGCCCACTACTTCGACAAGGATGATGGTGGTATCACTGCTTCGTCAGTCCAGCTCCGCTCGAAGTTGTTAAGCCCATGACCGGACTTCTGTGGTAACTGTATTCCAATCCTTCTTACTCCGGCTATGAAAAATTATATTCTCTTAGTATATATTAAGAGGGATATTATAATCACCTTTTCCAACTCATAACAACATTATTGAATTGATGGTAAGCTATCTTCCATTGATGTTTACAGGGTTTATTTGTCTTTTTATTTATTTTTTATTGCTGTGACTAGTGGGAATAATGAAATTGTGGATAGTGGATAGAATAACATGTCACATGCTTCCTAGTTCAATATCTAGAGTGCAATATTCGAATGAGTAGCCTCTTACAAATTATATATATAGATATAGATAGATATAGGTATATACAAAATTCAAATAATGAAGGAAACAGATGGCTGAAAAATAAACTCAAACTTGTTCTTTTTATTTTATTACAAAGTAAAGTTATAAACTGTTTTAATCTTTGAGGGGCGGACTCAAACTCGAGAGCAAGGCACACATTGTCGTAGTCAAACGACCTAATCCACAACTGTTAAACACAAACTCGCTCCACTGCTATTATTAATTGGGAGCGGCTGCTCCTCTAGTGGTTAAAGGCATGGTTGTGTGTTCGATTTCTCCTAATCGTTTCGCTTGAGTCCAAGGGGGAGCAATCATACCGAAAATCCGACAAAACTGATTGAACATGACCGGGCGGTTTGTGTAGTGTCTCATTTTTTTTTTTTACGTTTTCCAGCGCTACACCAAAAGGCCAAGCTTCTCTTTTGATATCTTTTAGAAGAGTACTGGTATTACAACACATAGTCCCGTTCTCTTGGTCGATCGGTGCAATAGTCCCATTCTCTTGGTCGATCGGTGCAAGGATGCACTCCATATAACGAGGCAGTTATAACACATGCTAGCAAAAGAGGAACTTGGACTTTGGGTTTGGTAGGTGACCTCACCTACCTACATCTGTTGAAAATGTGAAGGGTAAATGATTCAGGAATAACGGTAAAAGCAGTAGCCGGTAGAAAATGTAGAACTGAAAAGTCTCGGTATATATAAAAGCTCACCTTCTGTTCCACAATTCCTTTTTTGGTGTTGTGTTTTCCTACTAAACCCAAATGTGAGAATCTCATTTGAATGAAGAAATCTTTAACAATTACAATTTACACTGACCAGAAACTGAACAGGAACAGAACAAATCAATTACAAATAAAATTGTAGCCCTTCCAACAAATATGAACTCTATCCGCCAACGGCACCCCCCGATCCTTCTCATCCTCAAGCTGAATTCACCATCCCGAAGATCGAAATTTTGATGCAACTTCACAATCAGTGTTCCTTGAGGATCTGTGGACCATGGAACCACACCCATTTACAAAAATTGGCTTGAAACGCCACCCAACTCCAAAACCAAGAGGCGCTTTGCTGGGGTACCAACAGACAGGCACTCAAATAAGCCTGCTGTGTTATTAACAAAGAATCAAGAACAATCAAGGTGAATTGTCTAGTCCTGGTCAGGTTTTTCTACATCATGTACACCAGATGGTTCCGGACATATATCCCTAGAATGCCGTCTGCGTGAGGATGAATGTTCCCCGCCACCATTTGTCGGACCACTTCCCTGCGAACCGCTGGTTCCTGAATGTTTTAAGCCACTTGCTCCTTCCCCTTTCATAGTTGAGGCTCCTGGGATGACCACTACCTCGGATGAGCTGCGCCAGCTACCAAACACAGCAGCATTCCAAGACCCTCTGGAAGAAGCTGTTCTGAGCCTAGCAGAACCAGAGCTATCTTCCCTCACCACCTTCAAAGGGTTTTCCAAAGCCTTGAGAATATATCTCATTAGGGGACGCCTTGAGGGCTTCGGATTTAGGCAGGACCTGGCCACAACAGCCATGGCCCACACTTCCTCTAATAGGTCCTCATCCACAATCAGTGATGGATCCACAATTTTTGTCACAAGTTCTTTATCATATATACTGATGTATGGTAGTATCTGATCTAACAATTCCTTCACGTTGGTGTCACTAGAAGCACTTATGCCCAACTTACCTGTTACGAGTTCAAGTAACACCTTCCCAAAACAGTAAACATCATAGGCACACACTGCTGTTGGGGAACCTGTACATTTCAGATAAACATCAAATTCATTACTAATTAACAGATTTGGAAGTACAACTACATGCTATGACTCTGGTGTGTAAACATGCAGAAAAGCTGGAGTGAAAAAGTATGAGACTTTCAAAGGTGTCAAGTTTTTTTTTTTTTTTTTTGGACCCTCTCCATTCATTTAAAATATACACTAGAAATTTATCTGACCCAATCATTATGTGCTACCACTTTCTATAAATAAAAATGAAGCCTTAGAGAATTATTAGACATGTGATGGTCATTCTTTTATGCCTCAAAGATCGAAAAGTCAAATTACGCTATATAAAATCGAAAATAAATTAACATATATAACTGTCCCAAAGAGCTGCAAGTCTGTTCAATGCTAGGAGAGCAATAAAAGTGAAAAAGTGAAAAAGAGCTAAAATGATTTGGGGTTCTACAACGAGATATGTACATACCAGAAGCACCATGTTCAGATGACCTGCATTGTAAAGAAAACTGATGAGAAGTTTGTACGCACAAATGCATCAAATCTTTACAAATGATGATTAAAATGGAAAAAAAAAAAAGACTCATAGCAAGGTTACACGCAATTTAGCAAAGATCAGCAAGAATGTAAACAGATCCAATTTGATGGGATCAGTATCATGAGTAACCTTGTCCCAGGTGCTAGTTTTGTTTAGGGGTTAAAGATATTAATACAAAATGGCTGACGTCTTTTACATTGAAATTATGAAAACCGCATATAGTGAAACAAGAAATAGGTATACAATGCACCTAAGGTTAACAAAACCCGCAGACAAAAGATGATGTAGGACAAAATAGGGTCGATTAAAGTGGCTAAAATTAGAGAAAAGACAATTGTGGACGATTGGCAAGAGACGACGCAAGAAAGAAAATTCACGTTCAACCATAAAGCATTTTGTGATAAAATATGGAAAGGCGTACCGTTGGAATATTCAGGTTGCTTGAATAGGTTTTGGGAAACTTTAAGTTTTGGGTAATTTTATCTTTCCTTGTCCAATAAGGATTAGGTTTCATATTCTCTAGTTAATTAGGATTTTCTTTTATGTTTCCCTTATTCATTAGATTTCCAATTACTACTAGAATTTGGGTTTGATGCCTATATAAAGGCTTATCTTGGTTCAGATTATTCATATTATTACCAATCAAATTCAGAGGTTTTCTCGATTTTCTGGTGGACTCTGGAATACTGATGGATTTCAGTTATGATATCAGATTTGACGCTAGTCGATCTTTCATCTTATGCTAGTCGATCCTTCATCTTATTTTCTGCGTCAAAAGAACATCTGTGTCATGCTAACTTTAAAAACTGCACAGGTTTACTTTGGGCATTGCTAGAGGGATTGAGGGAGGGTAGCGCAGCTAAGAAGAGAATAGAAGAGACTCGACTCGAAAGTGGTGGGGGTGGATGGGGGAAGATAGAACTGATCATATGGCATCATGAGAATTAAAAAAAGGTCGTACCCAGTGCACAAGGCTCCCGCTTTACGCAGGGTCTGGGAGAGGTGAATGTCGGCTAGCCTTACCCCCATTTATGGAGAGGCTGCTCCCAAGTCTCGAACCCGAGACCTACCGCTCATGGGCGAAGGCACTTGCCATCGCACCAAGTGCGACCTCTTATCATGAGAATTAAAATTAAAAAAAAAAAAAAAAAAAAAAAACTCATTTAATATAGATGATATATTGCAAGGAGTTAATAAACAAGGTAGCCACAGAATAAGAAAAATATGCAAAATTGCAAATATATGGAGCAGGTTAACTACGACAGCAGCAAGAAATGGATATAAAAGCAAAAGCACAAGCCTTTTTATAAAAAAGATTAAAACATGTCATGTATTACCATAGTAACTCAACAACAGACTGAATACATAATATGTCAAAATAAATATTTATAAATTCATAGACAATGTACATCCATGAATAGTCACAGTTCGAAAAGAGACAAGTGATTAGATGAAATTATTGACAGGACACTTACTGTGGCAACCGCAGCAACCTGGTAATCCTGCTTTGATGAGTGTCCCCTTCTTGAGAACAGACATCACTCAGGCTCCCTAGCCGCACTTCAAATTTATCATCAAGAAGTATACTACTTGCTTGAACATCCCTATAAAAAGAAAGTTATATCATTACTTAGACAAGAAGAAACAGAACTAATAAAGATGCTCTCTGTCACCTACATAAGTTAATCATTGATGGAAGTGCAAAGATTCAGTGCATAAAAATCTTCACTCTTCAAATAATTTATGCAAAGATTCCAAAATTTTGCTCTATTTTTTGAGTCTACCTAGAAAGGAATCGTGAAAATTTCTCTTAACATTTTTTATATTCAATTAAAAATCTTAATCAAACCTAAATGTCACAATCATCATTCACTAGCTGTCTAACCAATCATGTTTTGCAAGTTGGTCAAGTCGAATATCAAGCTAGTACCATGGGTCCATCCCTCAGATAAAATCATTACCAGGAAGCTTATTGATCAAATCTGCAACTTCCACATTTTGTCTATGACCCTTAATTACGGTACAAAGTTAAAGGGAAACAATATTCTTAAAGTTTTTCCCATCACTTCTGTATTCAAACTCCATTAACTAATTCAGTGTAACTGCCATCTGATACTTCATTATACTGGAGAAGATTTAGTCTAAAATCAAATTGGCATTTGACACATTCAAACATCTGACTTTATGCCTCAGGGATATTATAATTGCCACTTACAGGTCACAGCCATATTATTGGTACTGAGCTATTTTTATAATTGAAATAAAGCAAGAAAAATATTATCTTCCCCCTAAATATGTCAAACACATTACGTAATTCTTATCTACTGATGTTCACAGGAGTATCTTGGCCAATATACCTGACCATCTCTGACTCTGAGTTTCTTTAATTCCTCTTACTCAGAATAATAAAATTTTGTGGATAGAGTAAACAAATGTAATGATCATCTTCTTACAAAGCCAAAGTCAATCTATTATACCGTTAGTTTCAATTTCATGGAGACTCTGAGATGAACGGGCAGTTGTGAAATATAAAATTTTGTGAATTCCCAAAATTGCTTAATGTTGCACAGAAAGCCCGTAAAAATCATGACCACAACATTCTAATGTTGAGGAAACATTGCACTACACAAATTCCATCTAAAAATCAACTTTGTGTATGTGTGCCTATATACATTCAACGTTATACGTTACATGTATTTAAGTATGTATCCATCTCAAACAATGAATAAAACAGATGCTAAAGATGACAAATAAAGCATACAAAATAACAAGAACCTGATTGCTGGAGAATAAAAGAAACGTATGCGAAGAGAATGATTTAAACATAGAAGATTTAACATTTCAAGTTACCTGTGCACGTAGGGGGGATTGCATTCATGATGCAGATAGGAGAGACCCTCTGCTCCGCCTAATGCAATCTTTAATCTCGTTATCCAATCCAACGACTGTAAACTATCATCCTCTGTGCTGGTTTTCTTGAACAAGGAATTCGATAAGTCTCCATTTGGCATAGATTTGTAGACCAGGAACTTCTCATTCTCATTCTCTAAACAGTGTCCCAGAAGGGGAACAAATCTTGCATGTGACACCTTACTAAAGAAATCCAATTCCTGTAGGTATGCTTCCTTTTTAATCGAGCATAAATCAATCCGTTTAATGACCACAGGGATCCCATTTTCCAAGACCCCCCTGAAGAGATCCCCTGAGTGGCCATTTTTTAGCAAGTTTGCATTGTTGAATTCACCCGTGGCTTGAAGCAGCTGCTGATATGTGAAAGCATCTCCTACACTAGAAAAGTTAATCGGTGCTCCTGGAGGTGGTGGACTGCCGCCTGCAGTAGCTAGCCCCACGTCAACTCCTCTTTGAGTTGTTGTTCCCCTCTTGCGTAAACATAGGAGTAGCACCACGCAAAACAACACTAAAAGAACAATCAAACCAACTCCCCCTAAAACTGCTGCCAAGATGATCACCTTTTTATTGCTCTTCCCAGGAGGTTTTACTAGAGGTGGTTGTGTAGACTCTGGCTGTCCAAAATTATCAAAAGCCAAACCCCTATCAGCATAGAACGAAGAGCATTCTTTCAATGTCCTCTGATTCTTCACATTTTGGAGGCAATTGCTGCCAAGAGATGCATTTGTGCCCACATACCCTGGCACACCACCTTCAAAATAGTTTCCCGAAATATCAATATCGCTGAACCTTCCAAGTAAAGGCGTTAGACCTCCATAGAACAGATTCCGAGAAATATTGAATACTGCAGCAGTGGCATTAGCATTCGAGCTAGAATTGGGCAGCATACCAGTGAAATTATTGCCAGAAACATCAAGAAGGCTCAATTTGGGAATTGACCACAGGACATTAGGAAGACCACCCGTGAAACCATTGTTTCTCAGAACTATGACCTGCAACTGCGTCAGTGTTGGAAACAGATTATCCGGCAAAATCCCACTCAGCAAATTGTCTGCAACTATCATTTTCTGCAAGTTCCTTAACCCCCTCAAATCAGAAGGCACTGAACCGGCCAATAGATTGGCACTTAGATCAAGGTCAACCAAGCTACCAAGGTCCCCAAGTTGCGGAGGTATTGAAGCAGACAACATGTTGTTTGAAAGATTCAAATACTGAAGCTTCAACAGGGTCCCAATGCCGGGAGAAATCGACCCCGATAAGTAATTCCCAGAAATGTCAAGCACAGACAGATTCCCAAGGTTGCCAAAGGATGTAGGAATGGATCCAGTAAGGCGATTTTGCGAAAGATCAACAACTGAAAGGCCTAGCAGCTGGCTCAAACTAGCAGGAATTGTCCCAGTAAGGTTGTTATAAGACAAATACAGAGCAGTCAGATTGGTTGAATTTCCCAGACTCAATGGAATAGCACCAATCACAGAACAAGCAGTGAGATCAAGCACTTGTAGGGACATGAGTTGTTGTCCAAACCAGTCGGGAATCGAACCCGGAAGCAGGAAACTGGAAGCATTGAAAGACTGCAAAAGGGTTATATTGGCCAAAGCATTGACAGAAAATTGTGGGTTTCGACTGCCAAGTCGAGTCCTTCTAAACCCAGAAATGTTAATCCCAACAACTCTACCATTCCGGCATTCCACACCTTTCCAGATGAAGCAAGGGTCTGCCTTTATCGGCCAGTCTTTCCCTCTCAACCCTAAAGACGATCTGAGTTCCAGCAGCGCCGCCCGCTCAGCCGGTGAAACCAGTGGCATTGGCGGCTGGCTCGGCTGCTCAAATGTGGGCTCAAACAGCAACCCCACCACCACCAACAAGAAGGCACACGATACAACGCTTCGCTGATCCACCATGACTCACAAAAATCCAACCATGCCCATCTCTCTCTCTCTTCTCTCTGAGGAAATATATCAAACACTTACATTACATGTTTGACTACCAGAACTGCCCAGAATTACACCTGCCCATTACACAGTAACATTGCATTTCTCTCTCTAAAATCAACTTTTTCTCTCTAAAAAACACGAAAAGGCAAATGGAAGATTCTTACCTCAAAATTCACACGCTTCGAATTCCCCCACTACAAACTGTTGAGGGATGGGAGGAGAGAGAAGGAGAGAGACGCAGACAAATCTCTCTCCACTTTCTTTGCTTTCCTTTCTTTCTCTCTCTAAAATTCTCCAAAGATATCAAAAGTAGGAAAGACACAAAATTTAGAAACAGCAAATGGAAATGGAAAAACCCATTAAATTAATTATTCTAATTTTTTTGAGTGGGAGGGACAGAAAGTGGCTGGTCAAAGCTCCAGAGATCAACAGTGGACTGTCAAATTGCTGCTCTGCTAAAAGTATTTAGATTAAAATTAAAATTAAAAAAAAAGAGAGAAAACCTAAGCAAGTGGCTCAAGGTGCGGATTACTACTCTCTAATAAACAATAATAGTGTGAGAGATCTCGGTTCGATGCTCTGAGCTATTTAGTTTGTTTGACTGTGATTATGAAATTGATAAAATTGTCATAACATCTTTGTACCCAAAAAAATAAATAACCGTAATTTGTTACTAATTGCTTCTCATTAAAAAAACAAAAGAGAAAAAAAAAACCTGAATTTTCACTCTTACTTTGGTTTTCTAAATTTATTTGGTTTCTTCTGTGATTAAAAGAGCTGACACTGAAAGTGATGGAAAAGTTGAAGTCTTTGGAATGTGGGGGTGGCAGCTGAGTCAATGACGGACTCGGGGTTTGGAACGGTATGACTCGGTGGTGGGCCTGAACCCAGTTCCGGCGCCGGCTCAGTGGGTTAGGGTTAAGTTTGACCTCCGGTAATCCCGCCCATTCCAGCCAATCAGACCTATCCACTGTTCCATTTTTTCGGCTTTCCTAATTTTATCCGCTTCTACGGAAAATGTTTAAGGGAAGTACAGATAAGACCCTTTTGTATGTGATTCTTCTGATTTCTAGGCTGTCAAGAATTGGAAATGAATATGTGGACATGAACAAAATTGTATTCTCTCTGTCTCTGTGGGAGGAGGGAGGGAGTTATGGAACAAAATTTGGGTGGTAGGTTTTGGTTGTGTAAAAATGTTATATACTGCCACTTAGTACTACGGTCTAGTGATATTTCACTTTACTTGTAATTGATAGGTCTTAGGATCGATTCCTGCCAAAAACAAATTTGAATCATATTATTGTTAGTCCATTGTGAGGTTTAGCCTATTCCCTTAGCATAGACAATATCGTTTGTCAAAAAAAAAGAAAAATTGGTGTGTACCTGAATTTTAATTACATTTTGTGGTACTTGATCATTATTTTTCTTCAATAAGCTTATAAGAATTAAGGTTTTTTTTTTAATAATTTAAATGGTAATTTGCACCTAAATGGACACAAGGGGTTAGATTCTCTCTCTCTCCTCTCGAGAAAAACGTGTGTGAGACTTGACTTGTCACTAAACTTCGCTGAGTGGCACTACAATCCATTCAAAATTCATCACGTGGCAAGTCTTAAATATAATCTTTTATCATTCTTTTATATTTAAAATTTTTAAAATTATTTTTTAACCAATTAATATATTATATATATTAATGTTATGTTTCCTTTTTTATTTCTTTCCCCCTATTTTTTTTCTTCCCAAATCCCTCCCCCCCCACTTTGTTTTGTCCTAGGTCTTAGGTTTCAGTACTCCCTCCCCTTTCTTTTTTAGGAAAATTAATGAAAAGGGCTTGAAAACTTTGAGTTTTAATGATAAGGACAAAATAAAGGGTAAAGTGAATAGTACCAGGATTGACTTTTTAGTGTAAAAATGTGGTTTTTCATTAAAGTGAACAGTACCGGGAGCTTTTCGTTAAAATTCCCTTCTTTTTTTCCCAGTTTTGTTTCTTTCTTTCTTTAAAAAAAAAAAAAAAAAAAGTTCTGCACCCACTCCAATTTTATCATGGAAAGCAACTAAGAATCTGTAAGTTTTTTTTTTCTTTATACAATAGTTGCTTTGATCATGTGACATGAATAACCCACATATATAGTTGTATTAGGTTATTTTCTTTTCTTTTAATTGAGGGTTTTTGGGTTCGGGTTCGGGTGTTTGGTTTTTTATATTTATAATATGAATTAGGTTATCTGCTATGTTTGCTACCTTCTTTATTATGAGTCTTTAATTAATATGTTAGTCTAATCTTTGATATTTTTTTTTTCAATTGATAGGTTGTTGAGGCAATGGAGTTTGAAGATGATCTAAAAATTGGAATGGTGGTACATTTAGACGCTGAAGCTTTTCAGGTTTGCAATGCGTATGCTTTGAGGAAGGGGTTTAGTCTTTGTAAAGGGCATATTCGAAGAGATAAATCAAATAATGTTACGCAACAATATTTTTTGTGTTCCAAGGAAGGGTTTCCACTGTTTAAAGACTTATGCAATGACAACATGGTTGATAAACTAACTACATGAATAGGTTGCAAGGCTTTAATAAGATTTTCAGTAAATCAAGGTGTATGGAAGATTTCACATGTTAATTCAATTCATAATCATGAGCATGCCAAGCCTAAAGAAAGACAATTTCTAAGATCAGGTTGAAAAATACACGATGCTCATGTTGGGGTCATTAGTTCTATGGTGGATGCAGGTATAAAGCCTTCACCGTCGTATTGTTACTTAGTAGAAGAAGTTGGAGGGGCTGAAAATGTTGGATTCACAAAGAAAGATTGTCAAAAATTTTTGTATAGGAAGAAGTCTGAAACGATGGAAGGAGGAGATGCACAAAGTTTGTTTAATCATTTCAAGGAAAGGCAAGCAAAGGATTCCAAACTTTTCTATTCGATACAAGTAGACCAACTGAATCAGATGACAAACGTTTTTTGAGAGATGACAAATCAAGGTTAGACTATGATTGCTTTGGTGATGATTTATGCTTTGATACTACATTTCAAACTAACAAGTACAATTTGATTTGCGCTGTATTTGTTGGAGTTAATCATCATTGGAACAATGTGCTACTTGGTTGTACTTTTTTGTTAGACGAAAGCACCAAATCATTTGCTTAGTTATTTAAGACATTCTTAGAGTCGATGGGTAATAAACAACGTAAGACTATTTTCACTGATGAAGATCAAGCAATGGAAAATGCTATTGAGCAAGTGTTTATGGGGACATGACATCGGTTGTGTACTTGGCACATCACACATAATGCTACAAAAAATATTTCTAGCCTTTATGCCAATCCTGAGTTCAGAACACATTTCAACAAGATGTTTGGTGGTTGTCAAAGTGTACTAGAATTTGAAGCTGCATGGGATTCCATGACTAGTAAGTTCAACCTTCAAACTCATCCATGGCTTAATAAGCTATATAACCTTCATAATAAGTGGTGTCCTGCATTTAGCTTAGATACTTTCTCTGCAAAGATGAAATCCACTCAAAGAGTTGAGAGTACAAATAATGTTTTCCATCAAATGTGTACAAAGACAACAAGTATTATTGAGTTTGTGTTTCATTGTGAGAAAAAGCTAGAAGACATGCGTTTGACAGAGTTGCAAGAAGATTTTCACTACAAACAAGGTATGCCTCGTCTCAAAGTAATTAGTGGAATTTTATGTCATGCAGCTGAGGCGTACACCAATAAAATATTCAAGTTCTTTGAAATTGAGTACATGAGTTGTTCGACAATAAGATTAAGAGAAGTTAGTAATGAAGAATGAGTTACTATCTATGAAGCAATTGAAGAAGGTCATAAAAGAGTGAACATAATTGAGTTTATCTCTCATACATCCATGGTTTCCTGCTCATGTAAAATGTATAAAGCTAAGGGCATATTGTGCCGTCATGTTTTGAGGGTGTTTGATTCGAAACATCTTACTAGTATACCAACCCAATATGTATTAAAGAGATGGACCAAATTGGTCAAAGAAGATGCTTTTGAGTAGTGATTTAGATGATTCATCACCACAAGGAAATATGAAGTTTGCTCAATCATTACGTCTCAATCAATTGATGCATAAAGGAAATAGTCTTTTCAACTTAGCATCAATGAGTGATTGGGGTGCTCACGTTGTTAGTGAAAAATTGTTAGAGGCGATGAAGTTGGTTGAAAAAGACATAAAAGCAAAGAAAGCCTCAGATAAGGTTAAAAAGAAAAATAGCCTCTCTACTTCCGGTGTTCAAGATGATGATCAACATATATTGGATCCTCCAATCGTGAGAGCTAAATGTGTAACCAACAAGAGATTGAAGAGTGCTTTGGAAAAATCAAAGAAAGTGACAAAAGTTAGATATACCTCACGGATGTCACCACCTAGTACTATAGTTTCTGGTAATACTCATTCAATATGGTACTTTATACTTTTTATTGTGAATATACAATATTATTATGTAATGAATATATGTACACTTGCAGAGCAACATAATCAAGAGACTATCAATGCTCCATCAGATATGACAACCTCGTATCCATCATTTCATGGCTTTTATAATAAAGTTTGTATTGAAACTTATATTTGGGGTTATAAGTCACAATTTCTGTTATCATTCTAACATTTTGTTTATTGATTTAGGTTACTGGCAGTAGACATCTTGGATAACACAACTTTAGCTCTTCAACTTCAAGAATTCTTAGAAAAATGTGCAAATGCTAGAAACATAGAGCTCATGGATTGAAGATGGATGAATTGAAGAGACAATGTGGGATTTTTGTTCCTTTTTATTTATATAGTCTGGTTGCTTCATAATTAGTCAAAATAACTTTTAGATTCACCTTGGATATCAAGTTTTTTAACAACTTATATTTTGATCGAAGTTTTAGTATTATCTATAGTTCTTAATTATATTTGGTAGAGATGTACTTTCTTGAAAATAGAAAGTTACTACGATCAAAACAAAGTGAAAGATAACAAATATGAAAAAATTGACTCGATAATTTGGAGTGTGCACTTTTGTATTCATGTCACATGATCAAAGCAACGATTGTATAAAGAAAGAAAAGAAACTTACAGATTCTTGGTTGCTTTCCATGATAAAATTGGAGTGGCTGTAGAACTTTTTTTTTTCTTTTAAAGAAAGAAAGAAACGAAACTGGGAAAGAAAGAAAGGGGAGGGAGTACTGAAACCTAAGACCTACGGCAAAACAAAGTGTTGGAGGAGGGGGGGGGGGAGAAATAAAAAAGGAAACATAACATTAATATATATATGATATTAATTAGTTAAAAAAATAATTATAAAATTTTAAAGAAAAATACTAGTGAGTAGTGAGGTGGAAGGAAACCTAGTGAATTAAATTATTAGGGAGCCATTTGACAATACAATGAACTTTGCCTGGTTTAAAAGATATCATGCATGTGATGATTAGGGCAAGCACATAACTATTTCATCATATTTTAGTATTCTTTGATTTACATAAAAAGGATGGGGACAAATCAAATATGCCACAAAATGAA